GGGGTCAACCCATCCACTCAACCATCGGCAGGATCGATCGAACACCTGCGTGGGATGCCGACAGTCGTTTTTGTTTTAGCAACTGGTTCCTGTGATGGGCAACTGGTTCCTGTGATGGGCAACTGGTTCCTGTGATGGGCAACTGGTTCCTGTGATGGGCAACTGGTTCCTGTGATGGGCAACTGGTTCCTGTGATGGGCACGTGGTTCCTGTGATGGGCACGTGGTTCCTGTGATGGGCAACTGGTTCCTGTGATGGGCAACTGGTTCCTGTGATGGGCAACTGGTTCCTGTGATGGGCAACTGGTTCCTGTGATGGGCAACTGGTTCCTGTGATGGGCACGTGGTTCCTGTGATGGGCACCTGGTTCCTGTGATGGGCACCTGGTTCCTGTGATGGGCAACTGGTTCCTGTAATGGGCACGTGGTTCCTGTGATGGGCACCTGGTTCCTGTGATGGGCACCTGGTTCCTGTGATGGGCAACTGGTGCCTGTGATGGGCACGTTGTTCCTGTGATGGGCAACTGGTTCCTGTGATGGGCAACTGGTTCCTGTGATGGGCAACTGGTTCCTGTGATGGGCACCTGGTTCCTGTGATGGGCAACTGGTGCCTGTGATGGGCACGTTGTTCCTGTGATGGGCAACTGGTTCCTGTGATGGGCAACTGGTTCCTGTGATGGGCAACTGGTTCCTGTGATGGGCACCTGGTTCCTGTGATGGGCAACTGGTGCCTGTGATGGGCACGTTGTTCCTGTGATGGGCAACTGGTTCCTGTGATGGGCAACTGGTTCCTGTGATGGGCAACTGGTTCCTGTGATGGGCACGTGGAATGGCCATCGCTTGCGCGGGCTGTGTGTAGATTAGACGCGTGCACCTTTCCACACACTCGCGTTCAAATCGGAAGCCGCTCTCCATTCGTGGCTTTTAACTCTTTAGGGGCCGTCCATAAATGACGTCACGCACCTGTGGGGGGGGGGGGCGGGTCAGAGATTTGTGACGAAGGGGGGGGGGAGTTTGAGAAATGTGACGTCACACGAAAATGCGCAATTTAAAATAAATAAAGACAACACGTTCTACTTAATTAAATAGATTTTTTAATAAGTGGTTTCTCCTACAACATCAGAGTGCAGCGGCACATTAAATACGCACTACAATGACAATAGTTTAAAGTGATTTGAAGCATTTTTGGGGGGGGGGGGCAGAGCTTTGTGACGTCATATTTGAGGGGGGGTCTGACTCTTTGTGACGCCGTGTGACGATGGGGGGGGGGGGTTCAAAAATCGTCCAAAATCGCGTGACGTCATTTATGGACGGCCCCTTAACGTAAAGCGGCGGTGACGAGTTGACATCGGCGGGATTTAGGATTTTGTTTTAGTTTCCTTTTCACAATTTCAAATAGATATATTATCTGTATTCCAGTTTTAGTAGATGACTGACCGGTCAGATGAGACTGGGAAATACAGAGCTTAGAAATGGTTGGGAGTAAGAAAATGTTAAAGGAGAAAAAAAAGTATTCTCATTGAGAAACACATTCATAGGGGGGGGGGGGGAGGGCGTGGGGGAGGGGTATTCCTTTCAATAGTAAAAAGTCCATCAGATGCACATGAGAAAATGATCGGACGACTAAAAATGTGACAAGAGGCACTCTGTGTGAAAGATTTGAATCGCGCGTTTTGTATGGGGGCCTTATAAATGGAATTCATTGTGGTGCAGGGTTTTTACTAAAGGGTAATAACGGTGGTCAGATTGCTTCCGATACTTGAAGGCCTTCTGGGAGTTGCCTTATGAGGCCCATCAAGAATGATGACAAATAATTGGTTTTGCTACAAGTATGTATGGTTCATGCAGACTAAATGCCTTTAAAAAGGTATTTATTTGACGTTTGAACATCTTAACGCTTATTGTTTCATTGCCAGAATTTGGTAAAACCTATTCTTATTTTCCATCACTTATGAGTTGTGTTTGCCAGGAAAACAAACTCCATCTGTGGTCCCACTTTATTGTCGAACAATTGAATTCGGCAAATGCTTCCTGCGATGAATGTTACTCTGAGTATGCCCCACCGAAGGGGCACGAGGTCAGTTGAGCCCCCAGCAATCCTGCTGGTGATGTTAATGAAAATCAAACTCAGGATTGTGGCTTTGATGCTCAGCGGGCTCTTATAGCTCTCGTGTGGAGACCACAGAGCCAGGTTTTAAACATTCCCAGCTCTCACCTCTGAGATGAACGCGCGTCCTCGCTCCCAGCTGCCGTGAGTGCAACGGTTAGCGCCACTGGACTTGCGATCCGGAGGTCGCCGGGTTCCATTCAATCTCCCGGCAGCACGGCAAGTTCAAACAACGGTGCTACATTACGTTAAATCCACACCCCCCCCCCCCCCCCGGCGTCTGGACAACACCCAGCAGGGTAAATGGGGCACATCGCGTGTGGTGGGGTAAAATATGGGTTCCTCCAAGACCTCCGGCCAACGTGGAAGGGTAGGGGAGGCCCTTCTGCCAGTGCTGGAGTGAGCAAGTAATTTGCAGCGATGGATGCACATTCACCTTAATGACTGTGGGGAACATATAAGCTGTATATAATCCAACTCACAGGAGGGAAGCGCTTGCAAGTTGTGGTGACTTCAACAGCGTTGGCTGCGGTGACCTCTTTCCCTTGTCCTTTGCACGCATCGAGCATTAAAAGCCGCTGTGCTGCCTAAAGAGGTGCAACTGGCTGCGCACGAAAGCCTCTTGAGGGACACCGAGAGAGGCTCTGCGATGTCACTTTTGGGTCACTGGACAGCATGCGGTTCCGTTGTCTGCAGAGAGACTTGCAATGGAAAATGGCAACACTCAGCGCCAGCCGAAAGCAGCGATGTCGCTGACGGTGGGTTTATCGGCCAGGTTGGAGAATAACCGACAATAGCTCAAAGATGCGTTGACGTCTATGTAGCTAACTCAGCTCAAGCTTCCCATGTGTGGCCATGCCAACTCTGAATCCCTCCCCTCTCCGAGATGGAGAGAGAATGAATGAGCAGACGCAAGTGAGCTGCACGGAGGAGCGCCTGTTTTGTACAGTGACAGGGCTGCCCCTCCCCTCTCATCATCACCCTCTCATCCCCAACATCTTGGACGTGTTCATTCCTTCTCCCCCTCCTCCCCTTTTTGCCTCGCACTCTTTCCTTCTTTCTTCCTGATCGACTCCTTGACTCCCTTTCCCATCGTGTACCACAGGTAAAAGGTTTTATTCGGTTCAAAATGTGGTAATGAATGAGAAATATAGAACAATATCTAAAAGGCGTGCACGGGAAATCACGTTGTTGAAATGCAGGCTGGGAATTACGCTGAGAGATAGGCAGAGAAACCTTTAAGTAAAGTGGGCTTGGGCAGGACTATCGATCGAATGGACGATGGTCATCAATAATAGCGAAGTGGCAGCTAAGGAATGGGAGACGACGTGGAATGGGGAGACGGAGCGATGAAATTAGATCATGCGCAGGCGCCCGCACTCATGGACCGTGGCATCGCAGGATTGTGAGAGGCTTTGGAAGGCCTCCATCCAGCAGTGGATTGAGACTAACTTTAATGTACCCCCCTCTGTCACTGTGTCTGGACCTTCGTGTGGCGAACTCATGGGGTTACCCTGAGTTAAAACACCACAGGACACAGCACTTGGCACATGTTCACGATGGCAAAAAAAATAATGACGACGATGATATATCTACACGTGTTAATGGCTGTTCAGTGTTCTCATAGCAATGTTTGTTCTGCTTTTCCGCAGTAATTCTCGACTATATTTTAAGGTTAATATGTCGCACTTCCTTCATGTGCTTGTCCTAGTGAAAACCCATCACACGCAAGAGTGGTGTATTGCTTCACCTGGCACACTCTGCAAGTGTCATGAATTGTCACGATTCAGGGTCGCGGATCAGGAATAGTTTTTTTTACATTTTGCTAATAATAGCAGCATTTATTAACTGCAAGGGCTCACGTTAAACCCATGACATACACCTCCCAAAATCAGCGCATCTTTTAAACTTTAATCAAGAATAATAATCTTTTATTTATAGAGTGCCTTTTTGTGCCACGCGGTTCCAGGCCACTAAAAAACATTTACAACGATGAATGTCGTAAAAACACTCACGAAAACAACATTTATAATGATGATTAAATACATAACGAGAAGGAAATATACATTTCAACCCCTTATCAGTGCCTACCTTATTACAGACAAATTCAGACCTCATTGGTTACCCCGTACCCTTATAAATCTCAACGTTCAACCTACAAAGTCCCATCACAAGGAAGAAGCAATTTGTTTACAAAAACAAAACATTTTTCCCTGTATTGAAACGGCTGTGCGCCGTATGGACGTGAAAACTCAATATCCCTGTACAAGAATACAGGGTAAACCGTGATGGGTTAACAGGTACGAGGAAACATGAATAAAAGAGTAAAATAATCGTAAGATGGCAGAATAAAATCTTAAGGCTAAATTGCAGAAATAGGCCTCAGGCCTCGATTTAAAAAGGGGCTGCTGTGGGCGAAGCCCCTGACGGATTGTGGCACGGATCTTGAGCTTAGACCACAGGGGCCGGCATCTTGCGGCTCCGAAAGCCGACTGCGGCTCTTTAAGTACCGCTTTGTGGCCCACGACATTGGAATTGCAAAGTAAAAAAAACACAGCTAATTATTTTCGATCAACGGTGAACGTCTAAAAGCCCAAACGACGATATGTAATGCAGCATTAAAAATCATTGTGCGTGTGCTGTTCTTTAAGTATTGATCACAAAAAATATGGTTCGGCATTACTCATCAAGTACCGTCTTCTATTTGCATGCATTGCGGCTCTCGAAATATTTCGGGGGTTTTTTTTTCACTGAACTTGAAGAAAACGGTTCTTCTTATTTTGGTTTGCCGACCCCTGGCTTAAACAATCGCCGCTGTTCGACGAATCTCTGAATTTTTTGCATGCCAAAGCATCAACACTGAGAAGGCCACTGTGTGGGTTCTGTGTCTTGCAGGCAGGGAGCGATGGAGAGAGCATTGGAAATTGCCCTTTTTCTCAGCGCCTCTTCATGATCCTCTGGCTGAAGGGCGTCGTCTTCAACGTCACCACAGTGGACATCAAAAGGTACTGACCGTGTCGAGAGGGCCTGCGGACAGCGTGCACTGGCAGACCAGTTGCTCCTGTGGTCTTTAGACAACAGACTTCGCAGATGGTCAGTGATGATTGGTGGTCTATACATTGAAGGCGCACAGCCGCTCTTCATAAATTATAAGATTAAAGTCAACACTCTTTGGTTATTTCGGTAAAGTCACGTAGGTAGAAAATAATAGATCACGACGTTTCGATCGCAACACAAGCAACCGTCATCAGGTGAGACAATTACAGCAGGAAAACTGCTGTAGCAGGCGAGAGAGCTGCCGTGATCTAACGGTTATGTGGAAACCCGCTGCCCGTAGAGGTGGTTCATAATGTATAGTGTATTTATTGGTTATTTATATTTCTCCTCCGCGATGCTCATGACTATTTTGAGCTATGTATCACTACTGTATATAATTTTGCGTCAAACTGGGACCCCATACCGTAAAGGGAGGAGAGGGAATCCTGGCCTGTGCAATAGGCAGTTCACCAGCATTAATTGATTCAAGCGATCCTGACTGCTGATGAGACACAATGCGTCGAAATTGCTTGTTTCGAAACAATGCTGCTGAAATGATGCACTTACAGAAGTCTGTGCGGCTGGGGAATTGTTTAAGAACTACTTCTCTTTTGATTTAAAGCTTTCGTGACTGCAGTAATTCATATTCTTAGTTCTTTCGGTAAAGTCACGTTGAAGGGAAACAACAAAATAATAAAATATATATAAAACAATAAAAATTCTCACGACGTTTCGACCATAACACAAACGGTCGTCTTCAGGTGTGTTGGTTTTTTTTATATAAATTTATGCAAACCAACACACCTGAAGACGACCGTTTGTGTTATGGTCGAAACGTCGTGAGAATTTTTATTGTTTTATATATATTTTATTATTATTTTGTTGTTTCCCTTCAACATGACTTTACCGAAAGAACTAAGAATATGAATTACTTCTCTTGTTTTGTGGAGACACGGATATTTGAAGGAGGCGTATTGTCTGCTTCTTTATTTTGTTACCAACTAAACGAAACGATTTCATTTACCAGGTAAGGCAACCTAACAAACAGGATAGCTTATCGAAGGGGGCTTATCATCACACGTGGGAATGTATAGTCGCCAAATAATCTAAACTCGTGTTTCTAAACATGGCCCGGGAAAACCGGAGGAGCCGGAGAACAATTCAACCAACCATGGAGAGAACATGCAAACTCCAATTATACATCCTTAATACAGGATTATTTGGGTTAGATCGCGGAAATATGCGTTGTTAAACCTGCCACCACAGCCAATTAGTAAGGTTTGTCACATAAACAGAACATGCCAATTCGTTACTCGTACAGCACACCGGTGTGTCGGAGAGCAAAGCCACAATATTCAGTATCTTAGTACGACGTTTCGCCAGTAATTACAACTAGCTTCATCAGGGGACAGCCAGATTTGTGGAGAAATACAGGCAGAGTCAGGGTCCGGAATCGAATCCAAGCCCTCTTGGCTGCCATGCGAGGGAGATTGCATCTCGTCGAAAAGGGATTTCGAGCGATGGTACACTGCCAACGCACGCTGTGCGATGAACCCAGCAAAACTGAAGTGCAATTCCCAGCCACAGCTATGCTCGGTGGCGAGTGATATCTGAGCTGTTCCTGAGCTGCCCTGCCTTCACCGGCCCACGCTTAACCAGCGTGGCGAAGTATGGCCAAAAACACATCGTGGGGAAGGCCCTCCCCAAACAGTGGGTTGGCAAAGGGTTGTGATAATTATTTATGATTTAAAATATGCTTTAATAGGTATATGAAATATTTGAGTGTACAAATGGCAAGTTGTTTTGAACAAAAACCACCCTCCGAAAGAGCAAACCAACTCAACACATAATAGAGGTTTTTGGGTTAGATCGCGTAAATATATAAATGTGTCGTTAAAACCTGCCACCACCCGACACAGCCAACTAGTAAGGGTTGTCACGTAAACAGAACGTGGCCAATTCGTCACTAGTACAGCACACCGGTGTGTTGGAGAGCCAAGCCACAACATTCACAATCTGAGTACGACGTTTCGCCAGTAATTACAACCAGCTTCATCAGGAGACAGACAGATTTGTGGAGAAGTTTTACTGTTTCGTTCCTTATATAGAGGCGTAGATGTGGTGACCACACTTCTGCGCTCTTGAACAAAGTGGGGGGGGGATTACTTAGTCAACGCACATGATGCATGTGCGTTATGTGAGCCCTTTGAGTTTGGCCTTCCTATCTATTGTATTAATCTCTATTGAAGGACGCTGCCCTTTATAGGCATGCATTTAAATAATGTATCATTTGATGATTCGCTTCCACGCAGCACTAAGGCGGTAGCTATCCGAATGGTTAAAATTAATTTGTATTTCCAAAAATTTGAATAGATTCTTTAATTAGTCTTCGCCAGTAGTAGCTAGTTTTGCACAGAACTTCAACATTATCAAAATCAATTGAGTGGCACGCGTGTTCTGCTACTGCTGACAGTTGTATTTGGGATAATTTAATATTTATCTGTTATTTTAGTCTCGTGCTGATCATTCGTCCTGTTTGCCCAACAAAACATTTTCCACGCGTGCAGTTAAGCATGTACACACCTTCTGTTGATAGCTTCGGTAATCAATCTGTTGTACCAGATATTAATTTCTGTATTTTATATTGTATGCCAAATCTGACTCGGATGTTTTGTTTTTCCAAACATCTGGCTAGTTTATCAGTTACTCCCGCAATGTGCCGTATTTTGATCGTTTTCATTACTTTTCAATGCTCTTTGTCATTTGATTTGGTTTTGGTATTCAATGCCCTATTGATTTGTGCATCATTGTAACCGTTCATTTGCAGCGCTTCTTTGAGAAGATTAGTTTCACTTCTCAGACTGTCACCATCTGACACTTTCTTAGCTCGATGAATTCGCGTCTTGATAAGAGCAGATTTCTGTGCGGGGTGATGGTGTGACTCTGCATTCAGATTGGCGTCAGTATGCGTTTTCTTTCGGTAACCACTGTGTGTTATTTTACCATTTCGACCCCGTCCGAGCAGAATATCCAGAAATGGTAGAGTTCTGTCAGCTTCCACTTCCATGGTGAACTGGATGGATGGGTTTTGCGAGTTGAGATGATTTAGAAATGCGTTCAGTGTATCTTTGCCGTGTGAGCAGACCACCAATGTGTCATCCACATATCTAAACCAAGCAGATGGTTTTAGTGTGCTTGAATCTTTTGCTTTTGTTTTAAAATCTTCCGTGTACAAATTCGCTATCACAGGAGACAAAAGAGAGCCCATTGCTGCTCCTTCCTTTTGTTTATAGAAGTCACCTTGCCACAAGAAGTCGGTGGTCTGTAGACAGTGTTCAGCTAGTCTTGGGATATCTTTGGCTAAACCTTTGTTCGTTACCAGAGTGTCGAGTAATTTAATTGACTCGTTGACCGGCACCCTCGTGAACAGCCTCGTGAACAGAGAGGTCACATCAATACTTACGAGAATATGATTAGGGTTAAGCTTAATATCTTTAATTATATTTACGGGATGTTCAGAGTTTTTTGATGAACGAAGAGGTCCTACACGATGTAGGGCTGTATTTGTATCCGTTACGTATTGTGCTAATTCGTACGTGGCAGAGCCTATTGTACTAACTATGGGTCTTGAAGGGACATCAGGTTTGTGAATTTTTGGTAGCCCATGAAGTCTTGGTGGTTTTGGTTACCTTGGTTTGGCCAGGTATTGCTCTTCCTTGGGAATTGATGACTTGGCAATGATTGTCGTTGTTTTACGTTCCAAGATGCTGGTTGGGTCTCGTTTAATGTTAAGGTAGGTACCTTCATCGAGTAAATCTTTGATTTTATTATCATAGTCCTCACGGGGCATCGCAACAGTCGATCGGCCCTTATCAGCAACAATAATTTGTATATCTTTATTTGCTCTCAATTCTCTTAAGGCTTTTGCTTCACTGAAGTTAACATTTGTTTTTGGCACTTTGCTGTTCTCAATCACTTTGGCAACCTCGTGCCTCGTCATATCAGCTTCATTATGAGGGAGATGTCTAAGTGCTGATTCCACTTCAGCAATGATCTCATCGACGGGGATTGTACGTGGGCCAACAGAAAAGTTAAGACCTTTAGACAGGACTGAAACCATATCGCTGGATAATTCAACGTTAGTCATGTTGATAACCGTTTTGTTTATGAAATGTTCATTTTTAGTTGAGAGTTGTTTGTTAGTCAGTCTAGCAAATGTGTTAATTTGGGTAGTGTTAGTCTTGTTAACTACATTATTAGCCGATTGCTGTGCAATTGTGTCGATTATATTCCAGTGATCTGTAGAGCTACTGTTCCTCAGTTGTAATTACTGGCAAAACGTCGTACTCAGATTGTAAATGTTGTGGCTTGGCTCTCCAACACACCGGTTAGTGCTGAACTAGTAACGAATTGGAATGTGTTGTGCACGTGACAAACCTAACTAATTGGCTTTGTCGGGTGTTGGCGGGTTTAACGACACATTTATATTTACGCGAGAGCCTACGTGTTAAACTAAATAATGGCTGTCATTAATTATCAGAGGACTCTTTACATTACAGAGCCCTAAAGAGACATGGTTTTCGGAGAGAGGCACTTGATTTGTGACCATTGTTACACGGTGTGCGATAATTCAGCAGTGGGAACTAGGTCATGCGATGATTTATGAATGTGGACCTACTTGAAAAATTCCTCATTTAATGATCACTGTCAATTATCACAAAGATGACAAGGGATGGTATCCAGAGTTTTGTTTTGTTTTAGCCAAACAAATGAACCGAGCGAGGTCGGCCATTTGTTCGCCCCCATTGTGGAATGCATTAATTATTGCCTCAATCAACAATTACAATAACAAGTTCGTGTAAATTAGTGCATTTCGGCATCCGTGGTCCCATCGTGCGGTTGCTCGGAATTCAGCAACGTTCCATAATCCTGCAGCGTGGCACGATCAGCCCCTGACGCCTTTTGAAAT